GGTTTCGAAACCATGAGAAAAAAGTCGGAAATCGTGAGAACGTGGGAAACTATAGAAGATAAACTGCCATACGCACGTAGAACGTGGTAGCAGTCGTGTTAACTGCTCTTGGAAGGTTTGAACGATGCCCTATAAATAGAGCAAAGGAGGAAGGAACAAGGGGCAGAAATTGGCAGAGAACAGAATCAGTAGTGAGAAGTCTACCGGAGAAACGACGAACACCATGAAGCTTCTGACAATCTGGATTTCCTTGCTCACTGAGTACATTTACCGCTTTCTGTATTTTCCTTGGTAATTTACTTTGATGCAACTTAAATTCAGCAGTTTTATGTTTCTGTATTTCTCATTCCTTGTCATTTCAATTTAATGAAAGTTTAAATTTCTGCATTTAAGTTTCCCTGTCATTTACTTTCCTTGCAAATCTCGATTTCTTGTCATTTACTTTCCTTGCAAATCTCGATTTCTTGTCATTTATATTTGCACTGTTTTCGATTTCTTGTCATTTATATTTACACTGTTTTTGATTTCTTGTCATTTACAATTAATGCAAATTTGGGGTTTCCGCACTTTACATTTCCTCGCAATTTAATATTCCGTTTCTCGATTCGATACTTTTACTGCTTTCGGTATTTTAAATATAAAATATAAAAATAACATTTTTATATTCTGTGACTTTCGATTCTCATACACGTTTTCGATTGAAAGTCAAATTGCTAGCCTAAGTAAAAAAGAACTTACGTGGGAGGATTTTGATTAGGACCCAAAACACCTTTAAAATCGAAATCAATCGAAATTTCACCAGAAACAGTATGTTACAAGTATTCTAAAGCTTCCGAAGTCTCTGTATGAAAGAGGATTTGAAGGTATATGAGATATAAAGATAACTCTCGAGTATCAAAACAAAATCCTTTGAGCATATATACATAATAATACTAATGGTGTTTTCTTAGATCTACTCTCAAAATTGTTTTGAAGAAAATAAATACTCGAATATTAATAAAATATTATTCAAATGATTTAAAGAAATAATCGCTGAAGAAGATTGTGATGATGAAACACTAAATTGTTTAACATGAAGTTCTAGCATAATAAAGTGCTGGGTATCAAGTGTACACAGAGAATTGAGTCTCGTGCCACGGACTTAAATTCAACACAAGTGAATCTCGGTGGATTCATCGGGCAAACATTGATATCAAACCAAGCACGTGAATCAATCCTATCAGTGCCTTTCTTTGTCTTTGCTTGCGTGAAGTTATGGTGCTTTGAGTTGTTTTCAATTTTCGGTGCATCAAGCACATGGAGATTTGGATAAGCGGTGCCGTTGAACTTTCTGGTTTATCATTTGATCGAAGCAGGAGCTAGCGCAAGCATTTCACTGAATCAGTGCATTTGAGAAACTGAAATTCTGTGAGCGATTGAATATTCGTTTTCTATTTTGAATTTAACGGGGATTCTATGCGTGTGTTTTTATAATAATTCGGTCCCCCTATTGAATCGGAGTCAAACGTCTTAGAATTCAGGGTGACTTAAACTCCCACTTTGCATATAAATAGTGAAGATAATTAATATAGATTGAAATGACCCACAAATCTATTACATTACAATTTTAGATTATAATATATATATATATATATATATATATATATATATATATATATATATATATATATATTCTGAAAATTGGTAAATTTAGTTTAATCTTAAATTCTCGATATTTGAGCTTTTTTTTAATTTCTATTCAAATATAATTAGGTGAGTTTAATTATTAAAATATATTCTGTTTGAGATTAAACTCTCAAATTAATTACACTAGTAGGACTTAATTATACTATGTTTTGAAAAATCTTTTATAATATTTTAAGAAATTAAAAAACAATTTAATAAATTTTTATTAAAGTTATATGAATGTTTAATATTAATTTTTATTTATCTCACTGGTGATAAATAAATTAAAAATAGAAAAATATACTAATATTTATTTTAAATTTAGATTTATTTTTAATTGAGTTGTTTTTAAAATTCAAATTAGTTTTATTATTTTAAATAATCTTTTTTTCTTATAACTTAAGTTTTTTAATTATTTAGCTCGCTTATTATGTTTTATAAATTTTTTAAAATCATTTAAAATTCATTATTTAGATTATACTTTTTATCTTTTAAAGTGTTTTCTTTCTTTGTGTTTAATTCATGATTTTATCATCTCTAACTTAATTTGATTTATAACATATTTTTTATTTAGTGTTTTTAGTTTTTTTTTAGTGTTGTCTTCAATTTGAATTTTCTGTAGTTGAACTTATATTTGTTATATTTTTCACTTTATTAAGGGTCAATTGAAATTTCTTCTCAAATATTAAAGAGAAATTTAATTTAGAGTGTCTATTATAAGTGATAGGAAGTGAAAGAGTATTTGAATTCCTATATTTGAAGGAAAAGAATGATCTGGAAGCATATATTGAATGCGATGGTAGAGTTGAATATGTTATTCCATTCTTTAATAATTCTAAAGATTCTCACAAAGTTGGTATTTGTTTATTATCATTTACAGATTATGGTCATCTTGGTGGGACCGAAGAAAACATCATAGTGTATGTAAAGGGTTTTTTTTTTCACCTTTCCATGAGAGAGAAAAAGAGAGAGAAATACAAAATATATAAAAGAGAAAAAAGAGTTTAGATAAAAATATACAAAAGTTTGAAACTTAAAAAAAAAATTAAAAAGATAAGAGAGGAATTGAAGAGATAGAAACAAATATTTTGGAAAAAAAAAGAGATTTAAAGAGAAAGAAAGGAGGAAAAAAGTTCAGAAAGTAAAGAGAAAAAATAAAAATAATTGAAAAAGAAAGAAAAGTTAGATAAAATTTCAATATTTTTGTTCTTAATAATAACTTTTTGCATGTTTGTAAAAAATTTCCTTTGAGAAAAGTAGTTGACAAGTTTCTAAATAAATTATGCAAACCATAGGGAGAAGAACATATCTCTCAACCTTATAATTAAATTTATATGTATTATTGAGCAAATAAAAAATACTTATAATTTCATATTACTTTTGATAAGTATAATATTGTTTTAGGTGATGATATCAAGTATTTTATATATATATATGAATGAAATGAATACATATTATCTGAATTTAATGATTATGTTTCTTTTATGTATTGGTATAAGAATCTTAGTTGGATTGAGCATAACACGATGAATCTATAAATTTTTAATTAACCGATTGAAAATTATATTAATTATATATTATTTACATTAGATTAAGTTAATTGTAAAACTTATGATTAATGCTTTCATAATGTTGTTGTTTAATAGTTTCTATTGGTCACGGCACGTCTGTTATTTTATTGGTCACTAGTACATCACATTAATAAAAAAATATTTTTCAAGAAATTCAAATATCAATATAAAAAAATCTTTTTATGCTTTTTATATTACTTTGAATCTGAATTCATGCAACACCTAATTTTTTTTTTAAAAGGTAATAAGGAGTTAAATTTAGGGTTAAATTCTCTTTATGAATGAGAGTATAATGAGTGTATGAATATACCGAAACATTCAGCGTTTTTCGTAAAAATAGTTTAATTTTACTTCTTCTTCTTTTTGTCTTCTTTATTGTACTGTCTTATGAGACATTAAAAGTTAAGTGTTAGAGAAGATTGAGTGTTGTTAAACCTTATCATATGAACACCTCAATTTGTGTGAGTGAATAGTAACTTGGTTTAAAAAAAATATTTATGTATAGGTTAAACTTGAAGAAATTTATTAAAGAATACTTGTGTTATAAGTAGGAGGGTGATAATGAAAAATAATATTCCTATTTTAGCATCGTCTATTACTGAAATATGACATGCTTATCAAGAATTAAATAGTTTCGTGTTGAGCCGAATCAATATAATTTGTATTTATCGTTTTTATTTTGTAGTTTAAGATGTGTGTAAAAAGTTATTATTTTAAAATTCTTTATAAAATTGCCATTTTTTATAATTTGAGACTTTGAGTATGTTGTTTTATAAATTCGTTGAAGTCATGTTCTACAATGTTTTTGAAGAAAAAAAAAGTAAAATTTTAGTTAAAATACAATTCAATTCCTTATTTATTTATTTTTCTACACTTTTATATGTAATTATTTAAATTATCAAATTTTTCACTACCAAATTAATTTAGAATATTTTTATTTATAAACATTATTTAAGAGAGAATAAAAAACATGAAATCAACACTTTTATATTTAAAATTAATTTATAGGTGTTAAAGAATGAATCTTAAAGAAGTTAATATAAAATATCCTGTACAAAACTTAGATCCGGTTAAGTAAACTTTTTCTCATAAGAATTTTTAGAGAGAAAAAGAAAAAGTGAAATTGCTATAACTTCCTTATTTTAAATTTATCCAAAAAAAATTATATTAATAATTTTTTTTTAAGTAGAATCGATTTATTTAATGTTTAATTTTTTTATTCTTATTTTTTGAAGTTTAAATTATTTTTCGAAGTTAAAAAAAAAAAAAATAGATTGGAAACTTACTGCCTCATACCCTCAAAACTTTGTGATTCAGTTCAATCTCACACAACGTAATTTTATGTTACTTTATTTAAGTAAATACCAAACATAGACCTTCATTAACCACTATTCGTTGACTCTGTCTCAGTAATTAAATTTCATGCACCTTCGTCGTGCGACAAGAATCTAGGATTGATATTTGAGTTGAGCATAATGTGTTAAAGTAATGTACGGTCAATAATATTAGCCGAGACAAATAATATCAGAAGTCAGAAAGACTTTATTCATAACTAGGAGAAGGAAGCACCGATATTTATCCCGTTTTACATTCATGCATATTCTTATCTTGGCCACAGACGGTAAAGAAAAGCTTGAAACCAAGAAGATAAGAACAACCCTTTCCATAATATGTAAACTATATTCGGAGCATGGCAGTTGTAGTAACAGCTGCACCCCTTAACCATTATTTATAGCATATACCTATTAAACCTCTTATCATGCATCAGAAACGGGTGTCATCAGTGGGAGGGTACTTTGGGTATGGTGGCTTCCCATATCGTGGATTGAAAACTGGTGGATCAACCGGTGCCTTAGAAACTGGGACTTTATAAACAGGGGGCTTCTCATGCACTGGTGGCTTTCCATATGGTGGCTTGTACACTGGGGGTTTTTCAATCGGTGGCTTATAAACTGGTGGTTTCTCAACTGGGGGCTTATAAACTGGTGGTTTTTCAACAGGTGGCTTGTACACTGGTGGTTTCTCTACTGGGGGCTTCTCATATTCAGACTCAAGCACAGGTGGTTTTCCATATGGTGGCTTGTAAATTGGGGGTTGCTCAACAGGAGGTTTGTATACAGGTGGTTTTTCTACTGGTGGCTTATAAACTGGAGGTTTTTCTACAGGGGGCTTCTCAACTGGGGGTTTGTACACTGGTGGCTTCTCAACAGGAGGTTTGTACACAGGTGGTTTCTCAATGGGAGGCTTATACACAGGAGGTTTCTCTTCTGGGGGCTTGCCATAGTCAGCAAGTCCTTGAGGGGATAGAACAAAAGCTGCAAGTAGCAGCACTAGTGAGCTTAAGGAAGCCATGTTTCTCATGTTTTAGTTGCTAAATAACACACCCAATGCTTGCTTTTTATACTAGCTCTGGGAGAGTACATGCTAGTTATTGCAGGTCCCAATCAAATAGTTATTATCTACGACGCGGTTTCTACCCTTCTGTGAAAAAGGTCAATCTTGGGTGTGGATTTTCAATGATTTAGTAGGGGATGCTGTCCTGTTGTAGTTGCAAAGTTGGAAGTTAAATGTGAACATTGAAAAATCCTTGCCATTGGGAACATGTATTTCTCATTTTTTCATAGCACCGACGTCTTGTCACCTTTGGAATGGACAATTTTTGAGATAACTTCAATTGCAATACCAAATAATTGAATTGCTTTACGCTCCATTCTTGCACGGGAGAGTAGTAGGTAGTGTCTGGTTTTGACTCACGATTACTAACGAAGAAAGAAAGTCTTGACTTGGGAGACTCAATTTAGATATATATATATATGCCAAGCAATGTTTTGTACATTAATTTTGTTGCATGGGATAAACTATCATTGGTTGGGTTCAATCCTCATTAGAAAACATGTGTTTAATTCAATTAAACACCTCTTATATCAATATATGAATAATTTCTAACACATCTTACATCAAAGATATAAATAATCTAATAATGATGGGTATAAAAATTCTAATAAATCAATCTATAGTAAATATTTTAGCTTTTAGTATAATATATATATAGGTGATAAAAAAATTTAGGAAAATTAATAATGATGCTAGGCAAAAACATTGGAGAATACTTTGGCTGTCGGGGAGATTTTCGGAGTACGAATCTCAAAGATAACCATTATAAAAGTCCAAAGTTAAGAAAAAAAAGAGAGAAAAGAAAACAAAGTCTTCAAGTACTCTGGTTAAGATTTTCTGAGAGAAACAAAAATTCTTTTCAACCATTTTGTCTTGGTCTAATATTTGTAGTTCCATTTCAATAGAGTTTATATTTTGAACAGTGACGAAAGAGGATGCTTAATTTTATTGGAGGGAACTCTAGAAAGGAAAATAAATATATAATAAATAAATGGAGAAAGAGATTATTTAGTTGAAAATATGAAAACAATTTTTTTAATGATTTATTTATTATTTTCTCTGTTCCTTTTTATCTACTATAATATTAAAAAAAATGTTTTTTATTAATGGGTTGCATCTCAAAGTTCAATACAGTCTTACTTTTAAAATTATATTATATTTACTAAAAAATAATAAATAATAATGAATAATGTTCAAAGATCAAGTAATCAATGAAATTCATCCTATCTCCTTTAAAAAAGCCTAATATAATTAGTAAAATGCAATCATGTATGAAAACAATGCAAATTTTTCTTTTTTTCATTATCATTAAAAAGATATAAATCCAATTTAAATAAGGATTAATATTATCTTCAATTTAATCTTACTACGTTAGATTACTGAATTTTTTATATATATTAATTTAAGTGAGTTTGAAGTTTCATCACAAAAAAAATTGAATAATTTATTTATATATATTAATTTAAGGGATTTTGAGTTCTTCATAAAAATAATTGAATAATTTATAAATTAAATAATTTATTTAAATTTTATCTATGAGAATCTCGTAGAATACACGATGATTATTTGATAATCATAATCTAAAATAATATTACAGGGTCCACCGACACCATTTAGCAGGAGCCTTGACATGTTTTCACACCTGCTGTTTTAACTACTTTTCTGCTTTACGACTCAGCATCTCTTTCCGTAATATCTACCTTTCCACTAACTCCATTCACATTTTCCTTTTATTTTCCCTTTATCCATATCCTCCACCGCACCCTCACTTATGCTTAGTGATAGATATAAGCACCCAATTGAACAGTGATGATATAAAATAACATGAATCCTTTTACTGTTGATTCAATAATAATTTATTACATCACTTATATTTTATCTGACTTAATTGTCGTCAAGTGTTCTTACATGAAAGACAGTGGAGAATCAATGGGATGAAGGTTTGTACCCTTGTTGCCTCCTCCTATGTTAAACTAAATCCCTGTTCTTATTCTTCATTATTTCACTAAGATAATTAATTTCAATGTTTTTAAAATTAGATATGAGTTTAGAGATTAAAAATTTTAAATGAAAAAAATATTTTTATAATATAAGAAGTATATAATAAATTTATTATAAATAATACTTTTTTACATTATAAATATTATTGATATCGTTTATAAATTATATCAAAAATTATAAATATAAAATATAATCTTAAATTTTTTGTTTTTACAAAAATATTCTACTCAAAAATCTAATTAATTTTGTTTCCATTTTTTTTAGTTTTATTTTAATTTAATTAAAATTTAATTATTTCAAAGTTAGGTATGCATTTTTAAACTAATTCTTGATTAAACTGATTAAAAACTAACACTTGAGCACCAATGCCAAACAGAGGTCTTAACGCTTTTTATTAAACACTATGTTTCATAATTTGTTGTACCTTTAGCAAATTGCCTTGGAAATTATCTAACTTTTGAGTTAGCAGGTCCTACACTGTAGGTTTGGCGTCATTCCCAATCTTAGTATGAAAATATTTGTTATACCAAAACTCCACCGAAACGATTATTGTATGGAAAGTTTTCGAATTCAGAAATGTGAAACGACCGACGCAAGTATATCTTAAAAACATTTATTTAGCGTCTCTCATTGCCCATAAAGTCGTGAGTGATAGGTCCAAATCATGGCCAGAGTGACCCCTTGTAATAATATCACTCAATTTGGTTATAATAACATCTTTAATATTAATTTTTATATTTAAATTATTATTTATTTTTAAGTTTATATTAAATTTATTATAATTTTATCTTTAAAAATATGTTAATAATTTAAGATAATATATATATATATATTATATAATTTTTTTTTCATATTATATACTAAATTTATTATTTTAAAAATTGGATTAGACAAGCTAATTTATTTAGTATAATTAAGAATCGATTTAAAAGTTAATCCATTTCTTTTAAATAATTAATTTTTTTAATAAAAAATATAATATATTTTTTTTACTTTTACAATTTTAAATAATAGATATTTTATTATATTTAATTAAATTAAGTATATTTATTTATCTATTCTAATTTTAAAAAATATTGATTAAATTGTGTTATTAAAAAAATATAAAATTTTCAATAAAAATCGAAAAGTAAATAAGAAGGAAGTAAAATCTTTATTTTCAATGTGACGATGAATCATAACTTTTTGTTTATAAAAAAAATATATTCGATATCATATTTATTATAATAATTTTATTAAGATCAGTTTTTAAATTTTAAGTATTATTTTTAAAATTATAATCTATTATAATTTTATTTTTTAAAATAATTTTAATAAATTAAAAAAATGCACATAATTTAAGAAAATGCACATACAATAATTTGAGAAAATCCACAGAGTCTTGTCAGCATAGCATATGTAAATCAATGACCTAACTTTAAAAGCATAATAGAAAAATTAAAGTTGGGCAAAATTACTTCATCATTCATGTATGCAAAAAAGTAAATAGATCTTTTCTAAAAGCAAACATGGCCCTAAACAACCGCGTTCAATGTTATTCTCCTAACACAAGTGCTTGGCGAATCAGCAATGCAATGGTATCATTGTTCTCACTATCTGTCCAGCACATACATCAAATGATAAAGACATGTTAACTAACCAAAAGACAAATATATAACAAAAAAAAAATACCAAAAGGAAAATAAACAAAAACTAGTAATATTAAAAGTCAAAATATATCACTTTTATTTGAAATAAATATTTTTATATAATTTTTTATAAAAAAATTTAAAAATAAAATAAATTTCCACTTACGAAATTATTTATTATAATAAGTAAGATTAAAAAGTCTTTCATGTCATATTATAATTGAGACGTAAGACTCTCCTATATAAATTACACATCATTTCACCATGATATAAAAGTGTCTCATTTTTCTGAGTTTTATTTTTAATTTAAAAAACTTATTTAGTTTTTGTTTTCACTTTTTTTTAATATATAGAAACGCTTACTCAGGCATAGGTTAAAGTTGTGTTATTTTTTTCACTCCCATACACATTATATATATTGCTTATTTTTCCTTTTATGTAAACGTGTATTTCACATGTTATATATGTAACTGGCTAAAGAAATGCTATCAATAATTTTTTAATACGTGTATATATACTCTTTAAAGTTTTCACTCTTTTAAATTTATTACTTTTATTTTACCTCTAAATTAAAATTTTATTTTTTTAAGTAAAGATAATTGAGAGACATATATCAATTTAAACTATTTGTTATAAACCCATAGTATAATTTTGTATATTTAAACAAATTATATATTATAAAATTTACTTATAATATTATTTTTTTATAAGAAATTATTTAATACAAATTTAATTTATCTAGTCAGACTCAATAAGTTGGAAATTTTTATTCAAGAGATTGCATTGAAAATTATGGGAGAGAATTGCTACAATTCCAAAAAACAAACTTCTGTTTTATTAATTAGGGACAATAGTCATAGTTTTCTTAAAAATGCAATAATATAAAACAAATACTTATGATTTAGAATATAATTGAAATATTAATTTTTTTTTCTTTACAGGATTAAATATAATTTTTTTTACTCATTTTCGTAACTTTCTTTTTCTTAATTCAAACCATTTTATCTTTTTATTCTAAATTTTTTCTTCTTTATGGTCACTTTCCATCCTTCAAAATACACCCTCTAGCATACTTTTGCTACCTATAAGGTAGGTACCAATATTCTTTACTACCCTGTAAATTCCCTTGTCTCTGTTCTTATATCAAAACCTTTCTGATCATTGATACTAAATTCTCAAATCATAGAGTAACATCAACTAATATAAAAACCTTCTAGATCTTCGTTACTACACAACATCAAATAATATTCATTAAGAATATGCCCTACACAAACACAACATATATATATATATATATATATATATATATAGAGAGAGAGAGAGAGAGAAAAAAACTGAAAGAAAATAATAATAGTATGTATAAGAAATAAAATAAATTATTTTTTTTAGGTTTAGTGATTAAATTTACATTTTATGGAAGTATGCAATTTACTTTTTCTTTTTATCATATCATATATGCCACTAGACTTTTTGTCTTCGTTTTTTTTCTTCTTTACAGCTGTGGACAATAAGAAAATAAACATTACTTTTGTCGTTTTTATACCAAATGGAGATCTACATTAACTATTCTTCCATCTCCGGCTCACTAAATTCCATGCACCACCGTAGTACGACAAGAATCTTAAGATATAGACTTGTGTTTCAGCAAAATGAAGATAGTTAGGTGGAAGAGTATCCAGCTCGTATACTCTAAGATATTATGCTTAAGCTGAGGATAGTATCATGAAGTAATTTATTAAGATTAAAATATGCTTAATCGAAACCAGCAATTAATATCAAAATCATAAAGCTCTATCATTCATAATTTGCAGTAAAAAACACCAGATATATTTTTCTCCGTTTTGAAACATTCATGCATCCATGACACATTATCTTGGCCACAACACTGTAAACAAATGATTAAAATTAAACGAAGACGCCATAATTTGAAAACTGAACTACATTCTGAGCATGGCAATCGTAGAAGCGACAGCTTTTATTTATCATATACTTCAGTCCAACTCTTAACATAATTTAGAATCGAGTGTCATCAGTTGGAGCCTGGAGGGTACTTTGGGTAAGGTGGCTTCCCGTGTGGTGGCTGGTAAACTGGTGGTTTCTCAACTGGGGGCTTGTACACCGGTGGTTTCTCAACTGGGGGCTTGTACACCGGTGGTTTCTCAACTGGGGGCTTGTACACTGGAGGTTTCTCCACTGGGGGCTTGTAAACTGGTGGCTTTTCCACAGGGGGCTTGTAAACTGGTGGCTTCTCTACTGGAGGCTTGTACAGTGGTGGTTTTTCCACTGGGGGTTTGTACACTGGTGGCTTTTCAACTGGGGGTTTGTACACTGGTGGTTTTTCAACTGGGGGCTTGTAAACTGGTGGTTTTTCTACTGGGGGCTTGTACACTGGTGGTTTTTCTACTGGGGGCTTGTACACTGGTGGCTTGTAAACTGGGGGTTTCTCAACAGGAGGTTTGTAAACAGGTGGTTTTTCAACTGGTGGCTTATAAGCTGGAGGTTTTTCTACAGGGGGCTTGTACACAGGTGGTTTCTCAACTGGGGGTTTGTACACAGGTGGCTTCTCGACTGGAGGTTTGTACACAGGTGGTTTTTCAATGGGAGGCTTGTACACAGGAGGTTTTTCTACTGGGGGCTTGTCATAGTCAGCAAGCACTTGAGAGGACAGAACAAAAGCTGCAAGGAGCAGCACCAGAGAGCTTAAGGAAGCCATGTTACTCATGTTTTGGTTGCTCAATAACACACCAATGCTCGCTTTTTATACTAGTTGGGAGACTACATACTGATTATTGCAGGTCTCGATCTACTTCTTATTGTATGATACGATGGCTAGTTTGCACCTTTGTGAAAGGTCAATCATTGGTGTGGAATTTCATTAAGTGAGAAGGTGCTTTTGTCTCCTTGTAGTTGCAAAGTTGGAAATTAAACGGGAATAGTGACAAGTCCCTACCGGTCCGAATATTTTTTATTTTTCAATTCACCGACGTCCTACAAAATTACGGTCGAGTAATGTTTCGTACAATTTATTTCGATGGAGTGTTATATATGTTTGGGTGGACTAGCTCAAGTCACTTTGTTCTAAACTTGTTCTCAAGTTTTTATGGAAAAAATGGTAAAGTAAAACATGAGGTAGTTCAGTACTTGTTTTTCAAGAAATAACACGACCTCTCGCGCAGAACTACTGGGAAAGCATGAATTGCTTGATTTCATCACAAGAAGGAAATGTCCATATGTGGATATGGAAACTAGCTACTATGGCTAAAGCATGCAATATATTTGGCTATCTGAAACTAGATTAGATGAAAAACCTCAAACATGGGGCTTTTCTGTTAAATTGCTTCCGTAATTTTCATTTGTAATTCTAAACTTCGTACCAATAAATATATATAATTCACTTAGGAACTTATTTAAGAACAAGTCTCTAACTAATTATTATTATTATTCATAACAACCAAAATAATCACAATAAAAAAATTTTAAAAATACTATACGTTTTTATTAGTTATTATGATTGGAAAGTTAAGTATTGAAATCTAAGTCCATTAAAAGATAAATTAGCACCTTCAAGAATTCAAGAGCGAAAAATAATCAATTTGCATCACAAAAACTACACTAGACAGGAGAAATCCTCCCCAAAAGAAATGTGGTGATATTTTCATAAACAAAAGCTTATATACTAAATCGATTATTAGAGTAATTTAATATGAACAGACTGTATCAGATTCTGAGGAAATTGTCAAAAGAAATAGGTTAAAATATTCTGTACATAAAAACTCATATAATACATCAATAATTGGGTATATATATATATATATATATATGATGTTATTGTCGTTGTCTTGAGGCGGTGATAATATGAATAAGAGACTAAAAGTCTCCTAGCTAAAATAGAAGATCATAAATATCCTCTTTAAAAATTATATTATGTACATATAAATGCTAATAAATAATACATTATATCTGGTATATCTTAAATTGTCACATATAATTTTAATTTTCATACGTCACTACTTGAATTTATTAAATAATTAAACATAATTTGAATTTTAACTCTTTTAACAATTTCTTAGACTTCTAAAAAAAAAAAGTAATTCACAAGTTCAACAACGTAAATTACAAGAATTAAAGTTATAAGACCCATAAGTACAAGCACAATTTCTCAAACAAAATATCATTCATTATGATACATGTCAATATATATATTTTCATATATATACAATTTTTTTTATCAGGAACAAAGAATAAAATTAATAGAAGTACAAAGGATACTTAACCCCAAATACAACTGAAATAAGTTAGATGAACGAAAATAAAAAATACATCCTGCTGGGTGAATAGGACAAAAGCTCAAGAGCACAAGTTCAATTACCCTAGCGGTGCTTAAAGAAACTAGCTTCGAATAAAATACTAACAATAACATAGCTTACAACAAGGCTAAAAATAGGTCTTATAACTCTCGAGATACTCCTGCTCTCCGTCTTCTTATATGGGTTCTCATCTTTGTAATATAATTACACACTTTAACTCTGTAAAGATATATATCAATCAGAACGGACAAAAGAAAAGTTATAGGCTAATTAGCCTCATACACCTTACCGGTTCATAGAACCAATTGAAATTTGCTAGACTCGTTTTATCCTAGTCTCTAGCGCACCAAACAGTGAATTTTACACTCGTTTTACTAAATTCTACTTTGGTATCAAATTTATCATTTTTAAAAATATATTTATTTCTTTAAGACCAAATTTCATATACCATTGCTACCCATAGTATTTTCCACAATATATTTTCCTTCGCTCTCAATCCACCTAATGCAAAGTTTTCCAAGCTTGCTTTCACTTCACAGTGGCTAACAAAGCTAATTCCCACCCATCTAAAGTACTTTTTCCAAATCTTACTGGTCATCTTACACGTGAAAAAAAGATAATTGGATGTTTCGTTCTCACTTTCACACAAAACACATTTTGGGTTACCTATAACAACCTCTCTCCTAACTAAATTCACCTTAGTAGGAATTCCAAAGAATCATATATATACACCCTAAGGTTTGCATATAGTCACCACTAAATTTTTTTAAGTTTGGAGTAATTTCACTTACTTTCTTTTATGCTTTTTTTCCAGATATTTAGAGTTATTCTAACCTTAACAAGTCATTATTTAGAGTTATTATAACATGTTTATACTCAATTCTCCTTAGTCTATGAAGAATGTTAGAGTCATACGTCACTTGTCCCAATTCTTATGGTATAACTTATATATTTTGATTACTTTACCTAACGTCAAACACCAATTGATATTGGTATTAACTTAAAATCTAACTGTCCTAAAACTTAAATAATTATTAGTAACTTATATTTTGAACTCATGATTAAGTTCATTTCTCAAGTCTTAAATAAGAGAAAATATTAACTTTTATTCTAATTATGATAGGTTGACATTTACTCACTAAAATTATCATATATTAAGCTATACAAAATATTATTTAATAATGTTAATGTTTATTAGTTAGGTATTGAAGGTACTCAGTGTTTGCAAAAGGTCTTTCATCAATAGAATATGATTCAATCATAATATAATAAAATATGATATTATTTTTAAAAAAACCCTTAAAATATTAATATAGATAAACTATTCATCTTTCTCATTTTTATTTAACTCATATTTTAATCTATAGTTGGATTCCTAATAATCTTTCTCTTTAATAGAATCACTTCTCCTTTAAATAAATAAATTTAAAATGTATATCTCCGTGTGTATATATATATATATATATATAGATAGATAGATAGATAGATAGAAGTTGTAAAATATAATATTACTGATTGTAAGGTTGAAAGTTAAGTTTTAACATTCTTGTATGACTAGGTATTGAAGAAATGAAACCAATAAATCATTTAGGTTATTTTATTCTTGAATATATATGGTTATGGATTTGAATGGGATTGGAGTAAACGGGATTCAAATGGTTTTTGTTATTTTTCTTGATATATGAGTGAGAGCGTGATTAATTTAGTAGGAGTAGGTAGGTGTTTCTAAATGGATAGATTAGAAAATTAATGACAAACTCAAAAATACTGTATTTGACAGAAAAACTCGACATCATTCGTATTGTTTCGTCAAAGTTAGGTAGATGTGTTGTTTGATTGGATAAATAAAACGTTGAAGGAAAATCCAAATATAAGATTTGACATGAAACACGCCACGTCATTCCTATTATATTTCATCAAGTTATTACAATTTCTAATAACAAAATTAAAAACAAAATGGTTTATTGTTCATAAAAAGCAATAAAATATTTTACAAATTAGAACAAATATATTAGTCGCAAATTGTTAGTAATTGGATTTCAGATCTCTTAAGATAGTGAGAGTTTAACTAACTTCAATATTTATTCCTTATTTTCCAGTTGCCATCTTTGAAAAAAATGGCGACCTGTGGGGAGAAAAATGTCACTGAATTTTTCACTATACAATATCACAAGTTGAATTTGTAATATTAAAAAAAAAACCATTACATAATTTATTTTTATTTTTATATATTATGAAAAAAATTTATATTTGACCATTTATATATTTTGTAATTTTTAAAACATAAATATATGCAAAGTAATCTTACTAATATATTTAAAAATTGAAATCTTTTAGTTATTATACTGATTAATTTACGAAAATAAATAAATGAATTCTCACAAGTAAGTTGTACCACAATAAATTTATATTTTATGTTTTCTTAAAGTATAAATAATTTATATAAGTTATATCTATTAAAGATGTCCTAAATAAAATTATAATTGTGAAAATACTGACATAAAATTATTATAAAAATTAATAAATTTATTATTTTTTTAATCCTATAAATGGTTTTAGTGTAATGTTTTTCAGATGTATTAATAACAATTTAAATATTTTAATTATTAGATAAGTTTTATTAAAATAATCTCACTCAATAAGTAATTATTTATACATTATAAATAACAATTTAGTGAATATTTAATAAAATAAAATTTATAGTTTATTAAAAAGATTAAGTATCAGATAATAATTCTGGAATATATATATATATATATATATATATTATAATTAATTAATAATATAATATTAAAAGTGATAAAATAGATTGATTTTAACATGTTAACCCAAAAAAAAAATTAAAAAAATAAGAGGTCAAATCAGATAGTTCAACCACTAATCCACCTTAATAAACTGACAAACAAGTGTATATTAACATATATAGGTTACTTGTTAATCCTATCTTACAATTTTTTAAATGTTTAGGTTTAGAATTTTCATTAAATAATTATTTAAGTTTTTAGTTTTATTATAATATCAAAATATACATTTACATGTTGTTAATTTATTTCATAAACTCAATTTATCTTTTTTTTATTTGAAAATTTTGTATTTAAATTAATTTTAGCTAAGTTATTGGTATATTTTGAGTCTTAATTATTTTAAATTTAGTTTAAACTTAACTTTTTTCTCGCTGTCTATTACGTATAAGATTTGATGATTGACAATTGTGTGAATATTAAAGTGACCGTGGAAACCATGGTTTTGTAGCATTAACGTTAACGATGTGGGTGTGTGTGATAGTGACGTGATGAGAGTCACCGTTTGAAATGAAACAAGAGTAGTGTCATTGATGCTTGTGTTGTGTACATACACGTACAAAGTGGTTGTGTTCATGTCTTTGACTCCTTTAAGTCAACAAGTTAGACTCGTC